CTTTGAAAAATTATAGCAAATTATTATAAGAATTTGTAATACAGATTTATGAATGTGATTAAAATCAATCAGCTTGATTTTATGTCCGGGTCTAAAGTATCAAAGACGCTTTTTATAGGACCATCTCTGTCTCAACTTCGTTTCAAGTGAGAATACCATTTTACCAACGATTTATGAGCACTATTCCTTTATAGCACATTATCACCATTTAAGCTTTTAAAAATATACTACAATCTCTAGCCTCAGAGTCCCAGACACCAATATTTTAATGATTCATCAAACATGAAATCCATACTGGGCAACTGACATGGAGACAAAGGTTAGGTTTGCAAATTTTCAGTACTACAGTAAACCATGAGTGTATATTAGCACTGTTCTCAAGCATCTGAGGGAACGTTTGGACTTGAACATTGACATGTGACATCAAGATTTAACAACCAGATGAGATTAAGTAGGCTGGTCATCAAGAATGAGTATACAACCACAGCGTATTTATGACAACCACTCCATTTACATTTTTACATTATTTTATTTAAAAGACTTGGGAGAAATAAACAGTGCTTGGTTTGGAATGAAAATACTGAATGTTTTGATCCCAGAAACAAAAGAAAGTACAAAAACAAATCAAAACATTCTCTTTTCTGAAGGTCTCCAAGCCCCCAGAATACTTCCATTCTCAGGGAACTGCATTTATATAAAGTTCATGGCTTCTATAAATCTCTTAGAGCTCATCTTTTGTGTGTGATAACTTTGTGGCGTGTTTTTCCACAAATTTGCTAAATTCCTCCAAGTCCCTTTTGCCGCCTTCAAATTTGACTGGGCTCTGCTTGTTGTTGCTGGGAGCAAAGTAGATTGTAGGGAAGCCCTCTACTTTATAACTGTCGTGGGGCACATCATTAGCAGTGGCATCCATTTTGGCAATGACAAGATTCTTCTCGTTCTTGTATTTCTTTCCAAGAGCTGTGTAATCTGGATCCAGCTTTTTACAGTGGCCACACCATGGTGCATAGAACTCTATAAGGACATCGTTCTTTGAATCCATGACAATGTCATCAAAAGTCTTGCCCACCACAACCCTCACTGGTCCTTTGTTGCTCTTGGGAATAGGCTGAGACTTTACAATAGGTTTCAGCTTACCTGTCAGAGAAGAAAAGAGATGTAGTCATCGATTTGAACTTTGTGGCAACAAAAGTAGTGCTCAACACCAATGCAAGACTGTCACTCTTACATTTGCATTCTTAGAAAAGCCTCTTACAATACTGGCTTAAGATTTAACTCAATATTTCAACAATCATTCTTATTAAGCCTTAAGTTGTGCAACCATGTTAATTTCATAAGGAATACATAAACCAATAACTTACCTTTTTTGAAGGCCATGATAAAGCTTCGGAGCACATCAGAGTCAAATTCTTCTGGCTCCATGGCATATTTCTTCCCTCCCTCACCAAGAATTCCAACATTCACCTCCTCCCCGCTTTCACTGAGTCCAAGGCTCTTCAGTTCATCAGCATAGTCTTCCTCATCCGCAATAGCAAATGTGTACTCTGGGAAGTCATTTGCTACTTCAAGCACTTTGCTCCTCCAAAACTGTGTGGCTGGGTGGAAATCATTTGTGTGTCAGTAGTGAACAAAAGCATTTGCATTGTACGCTACAGGTATGATCTTAATTCCTTTTACACGGCTTTGCTACATACCAACTCTGTAGTCAAAACTGAAGTCCACTCCATAATAAACAATCACAAGAGGTCGTGTGGTGTATCTCTTTGCTTCGTTGCTCTGTTTTCTGTGTCCAACCAAAGGTAGTATGTGTTTCTTGAAGAATTCTTGAACTTCTGAAGCGGGTGTGGAGTCCTTTAGGGAAGAAGAAAAAAATCTTTTAGGGAAACTTGAATTGGGGTTTGTCACATTTACCATAGTTCACCGGCAAAATCCAGTCATTAAATGGGAATATACACAAATAGGAATTTTAACTTGAGGGCGAAAGCCTTCCCCACACGGATTTCGCAACGGGTTCGAGTTGGTCAAGTGAAATTTCCACATTGACCAACAGAAAATGGTTTGGTTTGAAATTAACTTCTTACCGGTAATGTTACAGCACCTTAACAATAGTGCCATGCTTGGTTTGCAAAGATCTCACAGAAACATTAAAGATGCAGAACTTACTTTAATTGTTAGTGAATGAGATGCTGGCTCATATTTAGACCTAAACTTCTCTGGATGGAGCATGACTACTTCACCAGGTGAAGCCTTGAGGAATTTTGCGACTTCATTGTTGAACGTATGCATGAACTTGTAGTCATCTCGCAGAGAGTTACCTGCAGCAAAAGAGAACAAGTTGTTAGAAAAAATGAAAAGTAAAGATTAAATCTCATTCATTTGAGAAGGAAGACTTTCAGACAGCATAATACACACATGCTTCTTGATAGATCTCATATGCTGCATCTTCTTCACTGGAGAAAACGCCTACAATAACAGCATCATCTCCATCTCTGAGGATCTCCTGAACCTGTTTCAGTGTCTGCACCTGCTTTGATGGAGGACCCGCCTGGTCGGACATATAATCAACAATACCTAGAAGAAAAAGAATGAGGAGACTGAAATTCCCAACGATTCACCAAGTCACCAAGACAACGGGTGAATGCCTACCGAACTTCTCCCGTGGACCATTGTAATCGAAAGCTTTGCCCTTTCTGAAGATTTTAAGGGTTGGGTAGCCAGAAACACCAAACCGCGTCGCTAAATCACTCTCTGTAGTGCCATCTACTTTAGCCAGTGGAATAGGAGGAGTGCGATTGCTGAGCTCTTTAGCAGCCTTCTCATACTCAGGAGCGAGTCTCTTACAGTGGCCACACCTGTTTGAATTTAAACATAGTATTCTCAAAAAGACACACGGATGGTTTAGAAAGAAGGCAAAGAGGTTACATGCCAAGTTAATAAATAAGCTGCATGGGACTCTAAATATACAAACCAAGGTGCATAGAACTCCACAAGAATGATGTCAGCATTGTTCACCACATCATCAAAATTATCCTTAGTCAAGACTAGGGTGGCCTCTGGAGGAGGTTTCCAGTCTGGTTGGGCAACTTCTTTAACCCGTTCCACGATGGCTGGAAAAATGAAAGTTAAAACCATGCTTGATTAACAATACACCAGGAAAGAAACTGATTTCAAATAATAATAAAAAAAATCAATTTAAATGAAATTTTAGTGCACTCACCATGCTCACTTCTGTCCCCATCATAGTCCACCGGCTCCCCTTTTTTGAGTATTTTGATGGTGGGATATCCAGACACTTCAAACCTACTGCCCAAAGCACTAGCCTTAGTGGCATCAACCTTTGCCACAGGAATAGGTGGGTCATTCTCCTTTAGTGTCTGAGCGATCTTCTCATACTCAGGAGCAAACTGTTTGCAATGGCCACACCTGAAAAAGTTCAATATTTACATGACCAAGGTCTTTGACAGGCAATGACGTGTGTCCTACTGATGTGGAGGAAAGAAAACTTACCATGGTGCATAGAACTCCACCAGTACTGTGTCTTTGCCTTCCATAAAGGTTTCAAAGTTTTCATCTGTCAGCACCAGCACCCCATTCTCTTCCTTCACTTCAGTGTCATCTGCATCATCATCATCATCATCGTCGTCATCTTCGTCCCCTAGATCTTCAGCTGAATCTACAATATTTAACAAATATGAAATGGATTAAGCTAAATCAATATTTCGTGTTTCCTTCTTAGTTTTTTTTTCGAAGTCTTTGTTGAGGTGCAACAAAATAAATCTGTATGGTCTCCACAACAGTCTAACATGCTGTTGCTGTTGCCCTAAACAACAATAATACATCTTGCTAGCAAATGCAACGGCTCTGAATATCTCAAAACACTCAAAAGATTTTTAGATATTAACATCCTGCAAGAGATCTTACCATCTTTGGCATCTTCTTCGCATCGGCTTGGTAATATGAAGTGTGTCACTCCAAGCAGCACAATCAATACAAGGGTTATCTTCTTCATGATCTGTAATTTTCTCGCCTCCTTTAGTTAGCTTGATGGCTTAAACCGAGGCGCATACACTGCTAACGGTAGTCAAAGGAATAAATACTGTGATAGTTATGATACAGCTTGCAATAAATGCTTTTTGCTCAGCTCATCACAAAACACGCATTTTTCTCTCAATGCTATTTTATCACTTCGCTTCGCTTCCCCACACCTTTACTTGAACTTGTCTGACTTGCCACGCTCTGATTGGCTGGTAGCGCAAAGACTTGGCCAATCATCGATCGCCACTAAAGTCCGCAGCTCATGCACGTTCAAAACTGCAATTGGGTGGTCTGTCATGCACTACAATCTGATTGGATGTTAAGTGAAAGGGAAAGGACGAGATCCAGGAAGAGTAACCAGGAGCAAGTTATGCACTTTCTTTTACTGTCTATGGTTATGCATGCATACTGTTTCTATTGAGCAATGTTAAGTTTTCAGTTTAAGTTATTTACCGTACTTCCTGTGTAGTAATACAGTAAACGAGACAAAAAGGGTAGACATGTAAAAGTTTTATTTACTAAAATTGTATGTATGTAGAAATGTAAATTGGCAAAAGAAAGTTTGATTTTATTATCTTAAAGAAAATAGTAAAATAAAATAAATAAACTGGTCAGTCATTATGGCTAACTCACAAGTGAAGGGCCTCCCTCGGGAATTTCACTGTTATACTCCAAAAGTGAATTTAGAACTTTTTAAGAAAATGATTAAACTATTAATAAACAAGTCACAGTTGTCCAATTTGTCAAACAATCCATGTATTTGTGGTAGTAGTGCTTTAGCCTTTACGCATTTAACTTCAAATCAAATATCAAGTTTGAGGTATGATTGTGTAAACAATGTTGTTCAAAGAACAAAACGTGAAAGTTTTAATAAAGTACAATTTTAGAGGAAACTCAAATGGCTTGAAAATGCTTATCTTACAGAATTTACAACTACACACTGAACATCTCTTTTTTTTCTTGTATTACATACATTGTTGAATGTAACCTGGAATAACCGTTTGCTCTTCTACAGAATTGTCCATTCCCTCGATTGACTGTCCAGCTGCCTTGGCATGCGCTGGATGAACTGTGTGCCTTTGCACTTGTGTGATGATTTGAGTCTTGAGGGCATCATTATGCTCATCTGCCACTCTGCTTGGATTTGATTTAGAGGACACTATGCCCTTCCACTCGGCTGGTGCACAATGGATCTGCTTGCCTGAAGAAAGAATCTCTTCTGACTCTCTGACAGGATCTTTAAGGGGGTTTTTGAAATTCCTCAGCCCTCTTGAAAGGCTCTTCTCCTGCGTTCTTCTTCTGCCTTGGTGTACATACTGAGACATTCTGTGTTCTAGTGGTAATCTTGAAGTGAATTAATTAGTGAATTACAGTGTTAGATTTTGACATTCATTCATATTGTACATCATCTATCAACTGTATTTGACTTAGAGATCATGTCTACCTGTGAGTGTTTTCCTTATATGACAAAAATGAGGCACTGCTCATATCCAGGAATTCTTTGTGTTTCTGCCCCAATCTGTGTGGCTGGCTATTCACACAGTTTCCCTCAAAAGTTATACTCTATACAAAACAACAGTATGCAATTTAATATATAATATCAACTTTAACTTTTAATAATATTAACAAACATTATATACAACGTGCACACATAAGTCTCATACATATGTGTTTGCACAGTGCAGTGTGAATAATGTGAGTGCAGTGCAAAAGGAAAATAATCACCTCTGAGTCGGAGTAATAAACATGGTCAGAAAGTGGGAAAGAAAAATTGCTCTGGGCTTCAATTAGATTTTCTTTTGCTGGCAGGGTGTTGTGGAGACTGTCTGACATGGTGCAGAGATGAAACAACAGCTCATCCATGAGATCCTCGAACTCTGTTAAGTAAAAGCTCTGTGGAAAGAAATGCAGATTTATCTTTAAACAATTAAAAAAATCTCAACAATGATGCAGACAATAGTGTTTACATATTAGAAACTGTATTAATGATTGCAGGAAGTGCTTACATTAGTGTGGACATGATGGTCAGTTTGCTTGGGACTGGCTTTTCCAATAATGAGTAAAGCCATATCTTTGACATAATAGATCATCTCAAAGAGAGTCAGTAAATGTTTTCTTTTTTTAGTTGTCTTTGTTTGTTTCACAAAAATGGTAAGGGTGGCAATTACCTGAAGGGGGAAAAACTATTTTAGAGTAATATCAAACCAGTCTAGGAGGTATACGTAGTTTCAATATGAAAAGATACACTTTAAAGTAAACTGAGATATAACTGCACTTAAATATACACGGTGTATCATTCATAAATAATAGATATTTGATATTCCAATACATACCATAGCATTCAATGTAATCATAGTGCAAAATATAGCTCCAAAATAAAGTGTTGTTGGGACCTGGGTTTGGAGGTAAATGTCACTAAAGTGGCTCAAGCTAAAGAAATGAGTGAAGAGCAAATGAGCAGATCTAGTGATACCAGTAAATGGGAAGGAATAAAGGATCAAGTTGCGGAGACCAGAGAGGGCCACTGCGACAATAACACCAGGTGCCTAAATAGAAATAAAGAAAGTAATTTAAGGGAAGTAGCCTTCGGTTACATTAATGGGGTGAACTGATTTTAACATATTGTGTTATGTAAATCAATAGGCTACCAGTAACCAAAGCAGGTTGGAGAAGATCAGATTCCAGGTAGACACAGCTGCTGCTACTGCTTTGTTTAGTCGTAGTAAGGACACACATTTCAGAAGAAGCAAGTTCACAACAGCACCAAGGAGTGATTGAGAAAGCTGTGAATTATATATATGGTCATATTTAAAATGATCTGTTTGCCAGTGAATACCATTTGCTAAATTCAGAACGCTTTCAGCAAGTCTGAACAATTTTAGTTCACTTGGGCCATGTAACTGCATGGAGTGCCAGTTTTTTTTTTTCTTGAAATGTTCATCTGCGGTTTATTCACATTATGGCATATTCACATAGTGGGATACTAAGAAATAGAGTATAATGAATTAAACTGATATGTCCTACCTGCTCACAAAAGAAGATGGGGCTTAGATCAACAGGTAATTTAAAATCCACCTTCTGAAGGAAGTCAATCCTCTCTGTTTTTAGCATAAAGTTGTACACAGAGCAGATATATCGTAAAAGACTGCAGATGATAACTGTCACCTGTGTATATAAAAAAATTAGCAGAGTAAAGTCATTAAAAATACATAGTATGATGTCGAAATGTATTAGACAGAGTGTAATGTCACCTCTAGCCAGCTCCTAATGTTTCTCCAGTAAAGCCATCCTCTTTGAGTCATAACATATATTTGCCAATACATATGAAGCAGAATAAATGAAAAGAAAAGAAGCTAGAAGTAAAATGACACAGAGGAAAAAAATATTAAGTTAAATATACTCACAATATATATATATATATATATATAATATAAAATTGTGTAATATTATTATGGTATCATATTATGCATATTGTATACTCACAATCAATAACGATATCACATTTACCCTCCACATTAAACTTAATGTTAATGTGTCTGAGCTGTAATAAGATGCTCACCTCACAGGTCATAACACTGTAGTCAAGGGCAGCTGGGAAATGGTAGAGTCTAGTGGACTGAACACTTGCTGAGGGTATCAGAGCTCCTGTTGAGGTTTGCTCTACTAGAATGGTGACTGACGTGAAGAGGTTACTGGGCCCGTTGTACAGGAGAAATTGGACCATCACAATCTGGGTGAATGGTGTCATCCAGCTGGTATCCAGAAGCTTTTTAAATGACTTGATTGCTGTGAACCTATTTTAGCAATGCAATAAATATTCTTAAAATAAAAGATTATATATTAAAATTACTGTTCACATAAAAGATTATTAATTAACAGTGTTTACCTTGTTTTTCCCAGGCTCACACTCACTCTTTCTCCCTCATAACACCCAAGTTTCCCACAAAGTAAGTGTCTCTTTGCCACAGATTGGTTATCAGAGGATTTCATATTGTTCTTGCCCAACAAATTCAAGATCTGTTCATAGAGAAAACACACTGGAATAAATCAGTTTTTTTTTTTTTTTTTTTTAAAGAAGTCTCTTATGCTCACAAAGGCTGCACTTTTTTGATGAAAAAGATTGTAGCAATATTATTACAATTTAAAAATAAATATTGTAATAAATATGTTATATAATTATTTTAAATGATATAAAAACTATTTTCTGAATATATTTTAAAATATAATTTATTTCTGTGATGGCAAAGCTGAATTTTCAGCATCATCCATCTTCAGTGTCACATGGTTTTGTAAGACTGGAGTAATAGCTGCTGAAAATTCAGCTTTCCATCACATGAATAAATTAATATATTCAAGTTAAAAAAAGTTCTTTTAAATTGTAATAATATTTCACAATATCATCAACCTTTTTGAGCATAGAGACTTCTTTCAATAACAAAAATCCTAATTCAAACTTTTGATCTGGAGTGTATGTCAAATGTTATGTGTATGTATCTAATATATCTTCACATTAAAGGAATAATTTTTACTGTGAAACAGTCAGCGTTGGTGATTTACCTGGCATGATGAGTTATATGTGCTCTTGATCTTTCTAATAACCGGACTCCCAATAAAAGAGAAAGCACCTCTAATATCTCCTGTCTGTTAAAGCAACACATTGTAAGCAGTATTATTCTTTGTAAAGCCACTTAAATCCTGTTTCAAATAGCTACAGATGTCAAATAAATAATTAAAAATGTACTTCATTTTCTATTCCTTTCTCATGGCAGTTGGCATTGTCATATAGTCTCTCTAGGAAAGTGGTTGTTGTCCATTTCCACCAATCGGCATGTTTTTGGATGGAGTGAAATGAATTTTGCGGACCCCTGTTTATATGAAAATAACATTAGCACTTTTTTATTTTATGACAAGTAATGTGGTTAAATGAGAATGTCTGTATTTACTTTGTGAAATGAGTTTTGATAGCCTGATTCAAATGGTACTTGTCATTGGCAGACTTTCCATAAGTGACAAATAGAATCGTCGACAGCATGATTAGGTGTAACATCAAATCCCTGTTGAAGCAAAAGTGAATTTTTGAAATTAAAGGTTAAGAAAAAAATAAGTGTTGAGGTTGATTAAATAGTAAGACCTTGTGGTTTTGTGAAGGAGAGTCTGTTTCTTGATCTGGCCTCTCACACACTTCAACTCTCTTGAATTGGGTGGCCGCACTAGACGCAGATACCTGGCTCTCTGACGGGCAGCGAGCACCTGCTCATCAAACATAATGCAGAGTACTTGCAAACTTGATTATTATTCAATCTAAAGTTCTCTTGCAATTTCTTGCAATCAGTGTGACAGAAACATGTTTACATGATTTTACCTTTTCAAAATGGGACTGCTGGTATTTGCTAACCAAGACATCCTCAATGGTTTGGTCCTCGTGTTTCAATAACTCAGTGACAGGCTCAGTTACACTTAGATTGTGGAACCAGTTCGACCTCTTTCGATGTAGCAGAGACACTGCGATAGTAATTATGAGTATCTGTATGAGGAAATAAGCATTTAAAACAGGTTTCAATATATAGAGCGTATTTAAGGGCGTTTTCAGACCTGTAGATCGTTTGCTTTGTTCCAAAACAGGGACTTGATTTGTTACAATGTTGCATTTTCTTCTTGGTTCAGTTCACTTTCAAAAGGCAACATTTCAAAGCATACCAAATTACATAATATATTAAAATGAAAAGAAATGCTCTTTGGTTTTCAACAGCCATTACTAATGTGCTCACTCACAGAATCAGACACTGCTGCTTTTTATAACACATTTCCAGTTATGAAATATATCATCGCTTGGTTCGTTTGTCTGTTGGGTCGAATTACTTTCTGACCTCAACCGAACCACTCCAGAGTTAGTTTTCAATCGGGCAGAGACTTCTTCAGTCAATCTCGTAACGATTGTTTTAGTGCGGATCTGAGCGCGATTGCTGTGTTCATATATCATCCAAGTGGATGCTGCAGTGGTGGTGGAGGAGAGATCCTCTGATACGATTGTAAAGCGCTTTGGGTGTACAGTAGTACATAAGAAAGTGCTATATAAATGACTCATTCATTCACTCATATATGCCTAAACCAAACTAAGGGAGAAAACGCACCAGGTTCTGAAACAAACGCTTCAAATGAGCCAGGTCTGAAAACACCCTAAGATCCAAGAACAGAACGTGGGCCAAATATTAAATTGAAACCATGTACAGCTACCCTACACAGTGTGTGCGGGATCAAGATGATTTACCATAGCTGGATGCAGTACAAAGCCACAGCAGACAAGAGAAAAGAACACAGAATGAGCCCACAGAAGAGTCTTTGTTTTGCTGAACCTGTAGGGTAACAAATTTAAATCCTAATTTTCATATATTTGGGAAACAAATATTGTGACAAAGACACTTTTAAGTAATATACAAGCTCCAACAGAATATAGTAGTACAAAGGATCACCCACTTTACTCCAAGAGTTCCCGTGATGATGACGCATGTAAGAGAGAGAGTCAAGCAGAGGGTCCAGCCCACATAATAACACCAGGATTGAAGACTTCGGACTCTACCACCACAAAACTGCCGCTTCTCTAGGATGTCTGTGTACAAAACCAAAAAAACAACAACAACATGAATAGAGGAAAGGAGAAAAATATTGAAAGAAGTCTATTATGCTCATCAAGGCTGCATTTATTTGCTCAAGAATGCAGTAAAAACTGTAATATTGTGAAATATTATTACAATTTAAAATAACTATTTTAAAATAAAATTTATTTCTGTGCTGGAAAAGGTGAATTTTCGAAGTGTCACACGATCGTTCTGAAATCATATTAATATGCCGATTTGCTACACTATTTATTATTATCAATATTGAAAACAGTTGTGCTGCCTAATATTTTTGTTATACCCACACACAGGATTCTTTGATGAATAGAAAGTTCAACATTTGTTTTGAAATAGAAATATTTTGTAACATTATAAATGTCTTTTTCTTTAAAAAATAAATCTTACTGACTCCAAACTTATTTAAAAATATATATATATATTTGTTAAATAAGTATTACTTATTAAAAAATCTGTATCATTATAGTATAGTAAAATATTATATTTTTTATACTTAAATTTGTATCTAATGAATTTACAAACCTGCAAATGTGTGCGATCTGAAATCATTCAGCTGAGCATATAAAGCATATTTAACTGATCTGTACATTACACCTTTTACTCTTTTTTCCAAGAGCTGCGAGTCCAGTGGGAAAATCTATTCCATGACAGATACGATTCAAATATACAATCATTCATTAGAAAAGCATCATGGTGATCTGTGAAACAGACAAACCAATAGAAAGTGTTTTGCATTAAACTATATTGAATGAGTGGAGTGACACATGGTAACATACCTTCTACAGAGTAGACATCAGGCACCGTAACCTTATAATGCTCTCCAGACACACTACGGGACATGGTCTAAAATGGACACAGAAAAAAATCTGTAGCGTATAAAAACAATAACTAAATATGTATATACTGTATATCATACATAATAAATATAGTTGTCTGAATTAATGCATCCAGTAGATTCAAAATTTAACTGTGTGGCAAGAAGAAACTAAGGGACAATTTCAGGCAGCCTGGGAATTCTGACCTTGCCGACACGGAACACCAGGGACACCAGACCCCCCACCGGCATCACAGCAAGAACACTCCACAGGCCTGTTACCATGGAAACCGGTGAAACATCAATAAGGCCCAGCTCTAAAAAGCACTGCCCATTGGTGTAGAGAAAAAAAAGACGTTATGTCTCAATATTGTGAAAATGAAACAAACAAAATCACACATATGTTGACAGTATTTGTTGACATGTATTGATTTCTATGTTGAACTGAACACCTGTTCTTCCAAAAGATTTATGAGCACGGCGCTGACACACATGTAGCCCTGCAGGAGCAGCAGACACACACTCCAACGCTGAGTGTGTGTGTGAGAGCTGAAAGACGGACGGCTGTACACAGACAGCCACGGATGGAAGTCCTCCAAGTATTCTGTGAGTTTCAGATATAGAAACTTTCTCAAATACATAGAGGAAAAACACAAGACTTTTTTGTTAGATTCCATTTCAGACATATTCAAAGAAAAAACGACATCATCATTGTATGTAGATATGACAAATTATATCATTAATTAATCATGTTTTTGTATTGTGCCAAAAAACATATTTTTATTTAGTTATTTAGATTTTCTCCATATAAAGATAATATATCATACAATATACAGATACCACTGATTGATAACATATGTACTTATAACCCTTAATATGTATATGACTTCCATGTCTCTTGTTAATAAACAGATCCATGCTACAAATAACAACCGAACAAGGTTAATAGAGGAGGAAAACAAGCTTAGACAGCATTCATCATGACATAAGAATAAAAGGAAGGAGAAAGTAAAATAATAGCAGAAATACAGCATACACTGTATTGTGCCAAAAAAATTAAGCTTAACGTATAAATTGCTGCCTTAAATTTTTAAACAACATTTAAGGAAAAAAATAAGTACACTGTAAAACATTATATGAGTTTTTACATTGCTTAACTCATCAAAATAATTTAACCAATTTTCGTTTTTTTTATATATTATGCAAGTCAACTAATTTTTTAAAGACAGTTTAATGTAATTTAAGTTGAAATGACTTAAACATCCAAGTTGATTATATTTTTTAAAAATTACTTTTATTTTACAGTGTAGTGCAAAAATGTCAGCTTTTCAGACGCTTTGAATCAACCTGAAACTTGATTCAACTGAGTAAAAATGACAGGAATGATTATTAAATTCATAAACAAATGTAACAAAGATGAAAACATTTTTAAAGAGTATTATTTAAATAATGTGTTTAAATATGAATGCTGCAGTCAAATTAAATAGACAAAGATGTTCTTTACTAAAAGGAACTGTCCACCCAAAATGAAAATCATTTACAAACAAAGATATTTTTATATGTTTGAATGTTGGTTACGAAACCGTTTCTGTTCCCATTAACTTCTATTGTATGGAAAAAAAATACAATGGAAGTAAATGAGAATCAAAATGTTTGGTTACCAACATTCTTTAGAATATCTTCGTTTGTGTTCTGCAGAAGAAAGAAAGTCATACAGGTTTGGTAAGACATGAGGGAGAGTAAATGATGACAGAATTTTCATTTTTGGGTGAACTATCCCTTTATAATAACACTGCACAGACACAAAAAAAAACCTATATAGAAATATTTAACTAGCTGTATATCATTAACAACATGGGGGTTCACCTGTTTAAATGTCAGCCCGCATTCAGAAGCAGATAAACTCCTCTCCACCCGTCCATCTCCCTCATCCACTGCCAGCCAACACTGGCCCAGGAAGAACCAGCTGGACCCCTGCACCAGGTCTTTTACCAGCACATGGCTCAGGTACCAGCTAGGAGATGAGCCTCCATTATCATGCCAAAGATGCACCTTCCATACCCGACCCAGACTCTCTGGGGAGCTGAATAGTGAAAGATAAATAAAATGATCAAAAATTTAACAAATTAGACTAGGTTAAATTAGGTTTAAGTTAATGGCTGTACTCTATCAATAACGGTAAATGGCATTTACCTCAGAATAAAAGTGTTCCTTGAGTTGCATGTGAAGAGTTTGGAGTCAGAGCTGCTGAGTTCCCTTGTTTGAGAGACACCATCATCTCCATATAGAACAATGTGAACCTGACAACATTGTACAAATAGAGATTCAGAAATCAACTGTAACGTATATAATGCATGCAACTTACAATATACATGCACACATTGTATCCAGCAATGCTCACAATGATTAATACCTTTGCTGTCATTCTGGTTCTAGATCTAAAGCCTGTATCTATGGTGACCGCATAGAGGAATCTGTCCGAGCGATTGTTTTCTGGAAGCAGGAATGAGCCTGTAGTTTTCTGAATGGAAACATCAGCCTTTTTACACAAGACCAACACCACCACATAGAGAGCCAGGAATATTACTGACAAAATGATCAGTGTGTAGTTGGTTTTGGAGCTGCAAGACAGGAGGAGAATATCTGTAAGTGTTAGTTAAAAAGCAACCATATTCAGATCTGATCAATTTGGAGAGAGGTTTTGCAGGTGTACTGGATAAACTGTGAAACATCTGCAGAGTTGAAGCTGCTTAAGATGTTCTCATGTGATACTGCAAATGATGCCAGGTGGCTGCAACTGAAAAAAAGGATCATCAGATGCATTTTTAGTTTTATTAGTACATGAGAACAATTTATTAGTACTACAGAACAAATGATTGTCACAGTAATTGATATTAGGGGATGCTATTAAGAAATTCATTTTTTAATCTTGTAACAAACCTATTTGTAAGACCATTTGAAGCCATTACTACAACATTTGAGTTAACTATAAAAGATCAAAATACATTCAACTATTTTTTGTCTTACCACTAGATGGAGCATTTATTGTATAATCCATACCTGCAGTAGATCTTGTCTGGGGAAACACCACCATGAGAAAAACAACCCCTGGGCTTCCTCTCTTTCACACCATCCCAGGAAAGACACTCCACAGACTCGATGCTAAGTGTGTAGTTCACAGCTCTGGCAATGTACTTATTGCTAAGGCTTTTATTATAGTCTGCATTGAGAAGCATCAGGAAGACAGCACCAGTAGCTGGATATAAAAAAAGAAATTAATTAAATTATATATATTTGTATATAATTAATATATTGTGTGTGTGTGTATAATGTATGTATTGTATATAACACTAATAATGGCAGTAATGTTTAACATTTATAATTAATCTATATAAAATCATTTTTTTACATTTCATTTGTATAAATGTTGTCTATTTTGTGCCAAAAACAATAATGTATGGACTAAAATGTTTAATCAAACCATGCAAATAGGATTGAGAGAGGAAGATGTGAGCTGTCTGTCCTTTCCAGTGATATATTTTCTGTTCGTTGTACTTATTAGGTGTTGGCTGCTGGTATATTCTGTGAACAGATGTTAGATTTCACATAATGGTTGACTACACTGTAAAAAAAAAAAAAGTAAAAAAAAAGGTTTCTGCCATACATTTTTAAGTACAATCAACTTGGATATTTAAGTCATTTCAATAATAATTGTGATAAAAAAAAAATCATGAAAATATTTTTTTTTACAGTGTAGAAGACCTATCACTGAAATGCAGCAATGTCGTCACCTAAGCAGCAGCAGAATGGGAAAGGGGCGTTCAGCTGGTCTGTTAAACTGCACAGTGATCTGCAGGGCTCTCTGAAGGGTCAGTGACGTCATGTTGAACTGGTGACTGTTCACCTGACTGCGCAGAAGAGTGAACTCTGTATGTCTGCTCTGCTGGAACAAGCAGAAACACAATTCAGGGTAACCAAATAGGCCTATAGAGGAAACTATTTGTAATCAAGCAGTAAAAAATATCTACTTTTGTCTCCTCTTTTCTCTGAAACTCAATGGTAACTGGTGTAGATAGATGTCTGACTTGGATTTCCTTCCTAGTGGTGCAGTTGTAGAGTCGAATGTCTGCTGTCTCTCCACTGAACTGTAACATCACATCAGAGTGTAATTTGCTTCACAGGTCAAAGCAAGTTTTCTCAAATTCAGCCATGCATTTCTAGTGTACCTGCATGTCTCTGGAGCAGCGATATGGGCTGTGCCTGTACACTGTGAGCCAGGTAATGATGCAGGGCTTGTGCTGGCTATTGCTACTCCATTGCTGAAATTGCATCTCGAGAAAATCAGTGAGGTGGAACGTAGTAATGCCAAATGTTTTCACCATCGAATAAGACTCGCCATCCTTCCAGGCTAACACTTCCATAAAAGTAGTGTTCACATTGTACTGCAAGATATTGCTGGATAGCATACACTCCTGCAATCAAAATGTACAAGGTTAATATCACAGAATCTCAGAAGAGATCTGTTTATCCCACATTGATAATGAAAATAAGACTAAAATACTGCATGGTTACATTGAAATCTACAGTGACTAAAACAAGGTATTACAGTTTACAACACAGACAAAGCTATAATAATCAGATCAAATTAACAGATCCCATGGTAGATTAAACAAGTTAGAAGATGCATTTCAAAGGACTTAACCAGCTAACAAAAATACGGGTAACACTTTATTTCACAGTGTCATTGTTACATGTAGTTAGTTACTATAGTCATAAATATACAATTATGCATAATTACATGCAACTAACCCTAAAACAAACCCTAATCCTAACCCTATAGTAAGTACAAGTACACGTAGTTACTTAATATTACTCAGTACTTAAATGTATAATTAATTACACTGTAAAAAAGACATCTTGAAATAAAGTGTAACCAAAATATGTTCTAAGAACGTTTCCTAATGTTCCCATTAAGTTATGAAAACATTATTTCTGAACATTCAAAACATCCAGTTTTTTTAAATGAATAAAAAAAAAATCTTGGTTATGAGAACATTAAGAAAACATTCAATTTTATAATTTTGCAAACATTATGGGAATGTTGAATGTTCTCTGAACACTGAATCAAGTAGTAATTATTTAAAAATGTCTTACTAAAACGTTTCAGAAAAAGAACCCACCATAAATGATGAATCAATAATGGTTTTGTGTTAAGGAATTAAGAACATTATTAAAGACCAGACAACTTTCAACAAACATTCTATAAAAATGACAGGAAGAACATTTGTTCATAACTTTGAGAGAGTGTAGCCAGAATATTAGCCAAAGTTCCGAGAACATTCCCTCCTTACAGCCATTCCCTCCTTTTTATTCCATAAAAAAATGTTGATATTATGTCATTTTGAAAACTAACACATCAACTTTGCATCAGGGTTGCCTCTCTTACCAATACTAAATTCGTGATGGTGTAAAGCACTTTGTTTGTGAGTTGGTGTCCTGGTCTGGACGAAAGCACTGGAGCCTCCAACACACCAGACAGGAGAGATACCAGTGCATTCACCATCCCAATGTCCAATGTATGGCCTTCTGGAGGCTTGGACTCATGTAAAAGGGATGTGATGTCGTGAACATGCTGGATTACTTCTTTGGCACTGTGAAATGTCACCTAAATCAGATATTAAATAATTAGCTAAATGTATAAAACATTATAAATAAAACTGAAAATAAATCCAAGCTTGGGTTATACTCACTTGACTGGAGATTCTTATCAAATCAGTAAGACTGTAAATTATTTCAAATAAATCTCCCTAAAAAACAAGAACAGAGTTAAATATAGAGGGGGGGTTTTTTGTAGTTGAAAAATGTCAGTTAGAGAATCTTAGTCTAGGTAAGACCTTGTCAGTGATGGACAGCTGACAGGCCGCTGAAACAAGGGCGGCGCGTGTGAGTGTCAGATGCTCGACAGAAGACTCCGGGTCCAGACTCAAGCGGTTCAGCACCGTGATCAAAACAGAGATGTAGTTGATGATGTCTCGGTTGCTTCCAATCTTACTCAGACCGGTTAGGTTACCGATTCCGTACATGTACCTGGAAGAAGGAATAAAAGTCATTTAAAATCCTAATACGTCAGGTAAAGATGTGAGTATTAATGAATTGAGTAATTTTTGTGTCCGCACAGTTCTTGATCAGGGCTGGGCTGGGAGGATGAGTCTCTCTGAAAGCTTGGATGAACAGTCACTGTCACAGGACATAGTTTGGTCGCTGCTCCAAATCTGTTCTTTATTTCAATATAGACTGTGACTGTGGAAAAAGAGGTGTTCTGAGAATGAGAATAGATAAGATGTGGCTTGATCGCGTGAGATCATAAAAAAATGTAAACGTGAAATGACCTTGTCTGCTTTATTATGGCTTCTTTGTACCTTTGTAATCGTCATTAGGATCTCCACTAGGAAGATTGAAGTAATGTTGGAAATCCCTGCCTTCGTAAAGGAGTTTCCTTTCAGCGTTTCCAACACTAAAACTGTACTCATACAAGAGATCCTGATCACAGAAACACAATTACATCAAGACCAGATCAAAGAGAAAATGAATGTTGAATATTACAAAAAAATACAAAATATGAATATGTCGAAAGGAGTACAAGGAAAAACATAGACCTCTTTTCCAGAGGAGCAGAAGACGCTGAAATGAGTGTGGATTTCAGAGCCTGTGCTGGGCTGCACTTGGCAGCTCATTCCCTCCGGAACAGCTTGTGTGTGGAAGAACAGCTGGCTTTTCCCTTGTAGCCGCTCCTCAGAACCTGACAAGGTGAGAAAAAAAAGGAGTAAAAAGATGCAAATAGCATTCGGACAAAGGAAATACAAACATTTAATGGATTATTTATTCATTTGTTAGTTCGTTTAATTTTCACTTGTAATGGTAATCTTCATTTTGAATTTCCAAAATGAGATGGAAAACTCACTTGCAGACACTTCGAGCAAATAAAGACTCTTTGGTTCAAGCATGAAGGGTTTAAATGTGACGACCGCAGAAGATAATCCTAAAGGAAAAAGAAGACAAAGACAACTAAAGGTTCTTTTTGCAATTCATATGTAAAATGAGTTATGTCAACTTAGTTTTATAGAAATGTATATGTAATTCAGAAGGTTTTGTGGCCTTATAATAGGCGCTGTGAGTGCTCTCACATACCTGTGAGAGTGTAAGACTCAAACACAGACTGATGAATGAGCTGTCGGTCCAGATCCAGCAGGGTCTTCTCAGAAACTGCAGGGCCAAACAGGTTGGGGTCCACCAGATTATCACCCTCATTGTCATAAGAGTGAGGGAATGATCCTTCATTCCAACTAAATCCCATTGAATTGGTCCCTTTCACACACAGAGACACACACAGCCAAACACACTACAACATTTAAATACTAGAAATCATTATTGCTCTTTTGATGCAGAGCATTAAAAACGTGTACCTGTAGGTCTGCCAACTGGAACACCAGGATCAGCCTCTTCAATTCCAAAACTATAGTAATCATACTCTAAACAGCACCAAAAATATCATATGAGCATCAGTCATATTATTCAGTACTGTTCACTAAAATAAAATGTCTAATTTCAGGATGTAAAGTCCTTTGTTTACTTATTAAGAGTAAAATACCTGGTAGCGAGGGACGATCACCTGATATTGTCTCGTAAATGTCTGTGTAAATCATGTCCTCAGTATGCAAGTCTGCAAATGTAGTTCACAAAGTTATTCCATTTATTAAATTTGATTGTATTCATATTATTATTATAATATTATTATTATTATCATCACTACTACTACTAATAGTAATAATCATTGATATCATTATTATTAGGTTGCCATAATGCTCTCATTGAGTTAGATAACTGATCTATTAAATAGCATGAGCTCTTCCTATTGTAAAAATGATTGTTAAATGTCCAAATTATCCAAAAACAATCTACCACCAGATGGCGTCTAATCTCATTTTATTGCAATAGAAATCGTGATAAACAACATAGCTCTGTACAGAGCTAATTTTGTTTCAAGCCATAAAAACAAAAGCTTTATTATAATAGGGAACCTAATTCAAATTTAAAAACTTTTACATAATTCATTATTTGACATGGTTACGATCATTCTCCCCACAGTACACAGTATTGAGATCACATCAGTCAATGACACCTTACCTGGGGCTGGTAAGGAACCATGAAACTCCCACTGACCCCCAGACGACTCTGTTTCCCCAGGGAAGGAAGGAAAGAAGGGAGGTTTGATAGTTGGAAATGCTGGACGGTGGTACAGGTTTGTGCTGGGACTTTCAATCAGCGTGCGTACATTAACGCTATGGTGTTTCGTATGCATCATTGAAGTCAGTGTATCTTGTGTAACTGGGGCTGTAAGGTCAGGTCTAATAACTTTAGATAAAAGATAAGGAGCCAAAGATATGCCTATATCTGGAACGGAGGGATCAGTAAAATGGGCTGGAGTGTAGGGTGTCGCAGCAGGCTGGGAGAAATGTAAGCTCTCCTCCATTTTAGAGGGTAAACTTAGATCCATACTACTGCAGAATGGAACTGAAAGAAAAAGGCAAGAGCAAACAATTTCAAATTAATCAAAAACACAAACTAAAATGTCTTGGTAAATATTAGAATTTCTGAATGACTGTACTTACCCTCTGTAACAGCTTTGCTTGAGGCATTAACAATGTAAAGTTTCCAGTGATAGATTACATTTTTTGCATTGAAACCACAATCATCACAGAGAGCAGAAACAGAAAACTGCTCATTCCAGTTCACTGAATTTTCTCTGCAATCTTCACAAGACATATGAATGTTGCTGCCAAGAATAAAAAAATATGATTCATTACATGCGTGATATACAACTTTGTACATTACTTTTATACATTGCATATTATGTATTTTTTTAATCTTTTTTATTTTATTTTCATTTATCCACTTAAATCCCACCTGGCACGTTTTGATGTTACAGTGATGAACATCTCAGATGAAGAAGATTGATGGCCACTGTACACAGTAAGAGTGAATTTAAGCAGGTCAAAGTCAGGTTTCAAGGCAAGAGCGGGAAATACAAGAACTGCTGAAGTGGTCACGATGTTCCTGTTGAAACAGCTGCTCTCTTCTGTGTTTACAGGCCTGCATGACCAGCCGTAACTAAAACAGAAACAAAAATGAACATTTCAGATGTGATTAATGCAAAAATGACAGAATGTAATCAATAAACAAGCACTGTCACGTACCTTAAAGTATTATTGGGGAAATCTGGGTCGTGTGATTTTCGCCCATCTAGAGTAACAATAATGCCGCTTTTACGATTGATGAAAATATTTGTGGCTTCGCTGATGACACTGACAGGATGACTGCGCACCACTTCAATTAAAACACTGTAGTTGCTGTACACCACATTACCGGATACCTGGACCTTTGGGATGACAACAACTCTTGTTAGTATTTCTTTATGTCAATATATCTTTTTAAATGTAGAGGAGTTAAGCTGAAACAAGTGAAAGCAGACAGCTACCTTAAGAAGCACAACTGTTTTCAACAATGATAATAATAAGAAATGTTTCTTGAACACCAAATCAGCCTATTAGAATGATTTCTGGATCATGTGACACTGAAGACTGGAGTAATGATGCTGAAAATTCAGCTTTGCATCACAGGAATAAACTGGATTTTAATTTAAATTGTAATAATATTTCTGTATAATATTTACTGTTTAGACTGTATTTTTGATCAAATAAATGCAGCCTTGCATGGGGAACATAAGAATTTGAATTATCGGAGCTCTAAGCAAAACAGAAAAGTGACAAAAGGACATTACCTTTGCAATAGCTTTGTATGTGTCATAATGAAGGAGGTATTTCGGAAGATCAATATACTGCCGTGTCGTGTCTATGTGTGGGAGGAGCAGCGGTCGTCCGCTCATGTCGTATATAGTCCATCTATACAGGAGACCTCTGGAGACATTACACTGAATCTGAGCCTCAAACGTCACAGCAAGATGGACATTTTGATACCGCCACACCTAGAAGTATGCAAGCAAAATTTATTTAGTATATACACTGCTGGTCAAAAGTTTGGAATAATTAAGGTTTTTTTAAGTCTTTAAAAGAAGAAGTCTCTAATGCTTACCAAGGATGCATTTATTTGATTAAAAATACAGTAAAGCAGTACTATTGTGAAATATTATTACAATTTAAAATAACTTTTTGTTATAATATATTTTAAAATGTAATTTATTCCTATGATGGCAAAGCTGAATTTTCAGCATAATTTATCCAGTATTCAGTGTCACATGATCCTTCAGAAATCATTCTAATATACTCAATAATTGGTGCTCAATTATAATTAATGGTTCTTATTATCAATTTTGAAAACTTTCTGCTGCTAAATATATGTGTAGAAACCATGATCATTTTTTTTTTCAGGATAATTTGATGAATAGTTTAATGAACAGCATTTATTTGAAATACACATCTTTTGTAAGATTATAAATGTCTTTAATGTCTAATGTCCCTACTAAATAAAAGCATACATTTCTTTATTTTGTACATACCCCAAACTTTTGAATGGTAGTAGTATCACAGGTTTCCACAAAAATATTAAGCAGTAAAATTGATAATAATAAGAAATGTTTCTTGATCACCAAATCAGCATTTTAGATCAAGATTTCTGAAGGATCATGTGACACTGAAGACTGAAAAATGATGCTGAAAATTCAACAGAAATACATTACATTTAAAAAAAAAAATTAAATAGAAAACTTAGGCTATATTATATTGTAATAATATTTCACAACATTACTCTTTTTACAGTATTTTTGATCAAATAAGTGCCGTCTTGGCAAGACCTTAATTACTCCAAACTTTTCACCGGCAGTGTATAGATACCTTTTTGTTAGTGATGTCTCCTAGTATAACTGTTGGAGTATAGTTGTCTAATAGTGGCATATAGAGAACTTGTACCTGTATTTTATTTGGGCCCATGTTTTTCACCGGAGGAGGCTGACATGATTCTTCAACGACAAAGATGTGCCCTGTTAAAGAGGCTGAGCTCACTAGGTTGAACATAATAACCTCTAATATGTACTCTCCAGTTCTATAGAAAAATAAAAACAATTCACATTTACAATAAATCAAATCAAATTAAAATTAAAATAATAACCAACAATTATGACTGAGGACAAGATTTTGTAAGAAGTAACTGCTACAAAATGATCTAAAAATAAATAAGTAATGAGAGGGGGAAAAAAACATTTCCAAACATGGGATAATGACTTCATACATTATAATATTACAAAAGATTTCTATTTCAAAGAAATGCTTTTCTTTTGAACTTTTTAATCATCAAAGAATTCTGATAAGAATGTATCACGGTTTCCACAGACATATTAAGCAGCACAACTGTTTTCAAAATTGATAATAATTTTTTTTTTTCTTGAGCACCAAATCAGTATATTAGAATCATTTCTGAAGGATCATGTGACACTGAAGACTGGAGTAATGATGCTGAAAATTCAGCTTTGACATCACATGGATACACTGCATTTTAAAATATATTCAAAACAGTTATTTTAAATGGTAATAATATTTCACAGCAATACGGTCTTTAATGTATTTTGATCAAATAAATGCAACCTTGGTGAGCATAAGAAAATCTGCTATTTACTGTATATACCCTGTGTGACAAAAAAAGGAACACCAGAACGATACAATTTCTACCTGTTAAAGACATGATGCTCAGCGCGTGATCCGTCTCGCTCTGTTCCATCTCCAAAATTCCAAAGATACGAGACATCAGTTCCTGAGCTGATCCGGCAGGTGAAGTTTACAGAACGGTTTGATAAAACTGAGGGACTGTACAGAAGCCTGTTGGGCTGCACAGCTCTCTGAATCACAACAGGATAAATATCTGAGCTGATGGATGTGAGACCGTTAGACACATTGACAGTGACATTGTATCTGAAAAAGATAGATATAGATTAGATATAGATAGATTTAAAAAAAAGTCAAATGTATAAATGCAGTAAACAGAGACAAGTAAAATACTGATTCAGTAAAATCTGTATGAAACATGTCTTTTGTAACTGAAAGCTCTTTAGATTGTCTATATGAAAATAGAAATAAACAAAAACAAAGAGCACTTGTTTGGGAGGCGATATCTCTTTTTGAAGATTCTGGATGTTGTTTTTATTTCAGGTCCATCCTCAAATCTCCAATGAAAGTATAGAGGATTCGGCACTTCTGTTACTGCTACAAATTTGATGTCTGTCTGTGTTGCATATGCCCGTTTGTCCGAAAAAATCCAAACAGCTGGAAAGAACATCACACATTCAAAGCAGAAAAATATAAGATGTTGCTAGGTTTGTATAACGGAGTAGCTTTTCTTTATGAATGGACCTCACACCTCGCTTGTGACTGTCTGTGGGTTTGGTTGAGGCTTTATCCTGCTGCTTGTCCTCTGTGTCTGTGGGCAGAGGGGCAAAGGACGGGATATCCCGACCTCTCTTGGACAACATGAGATTCAAGTACTCGGTCCCAGAGGGACATGCTCTAATCTGCCAGCTGGTAGAATGAGTATAGATACTGTTCGTCATGGTCACATCTAAAAACACAAAGACATGTGGTGGTCACAAAAGCTTACTCTGTTTCATTCTTCCCATATTTGTAGCTATAGCACTGTCCAGTAAACATACTTAAATGGTACAATCCAGCAGCAGGTAATATTGCATCTATGTAGCAGGTGAAGTATCCATTGGCCATAAGAGACATATTATGCAAGCCCCGAGGACCAGAGTTCCCACTAAATGTAATGAAAACCATGGAAATGTTTTCTTTGCTCAGATCTGGTATGACTGGAAATATAATCAAATATACAAGGGATTACTTTGCATTGCTTAGATGATTTTTGAGAAAAGAATATTGTATCTTGTGTTCAATTCAATTTAAATTAATTTAATTAAAAGCACTATTGAATTACAAGCAACTTAAATTGCACAAGGGTTGCTATGGCAAGGCTGACAATAACCTGAGACTTCCAGGAGGAGGGGCTTTCCAATCTGCACCCTGTCAATCAAAGCAGCTACAGTGGCATCATGAACAGAAGGCCCTCTGCTGCTGTACACTGCCAACCAGCCCGTCTCATTCCCATAAGGGACAAACTCGGAGGAGAAGCATCTGTAGGCAAATCAAAACCAGACATGCTTCTCAATACAAAACACTGAAACTTACCTGCAGATAGTGAGTCAAACTCACAATCAAAATAATGTATGTATATCTAGATGCAGACTTTTTTCTTGGATGGTCTGAACTAGATACATTGTGGAAGTGAAACTCTCTGCAATATTCTTGTGATAAACTGATACAATACAGTGAAAGAATACAGCATCACAGAGATTACCAACTTCTGATTATAGTTTTGTCTTATTGTTTTGCCCACATATTATTACACTGTTGTTTAACAATAAAAGACACATAGCTCAACAGAACATTTCAAGCAAGTATCTTTACAATAAATACAAGTGAATGAAATCCAATCAAAATGCAACTTTGCATATACCTTTTTTTTATTGTTGCATAAAGCAGAACATTTTAGGCTAATTCTATCTTTTAAATTAATTTAATAATGCATTGTATTTTAAGGAGTATAACATTGTAGATTTTTTGTTTAGTTTTTTATATTTGCATTTTATTATATTTTTATGTTGTAACTGTTTGTGATATTTTAATTAATTGAATAAAAAATGTAATTGTATTGTGCTGTTATTATATTGCCTACACTTCCATTTTTGTCAAGCATTCATGTATGTAACTTATATATGTTTTTATAGCCTTGTTCAATTTTTTTAGTTAAATAAAATCAATTTGGATATGATCATATTTAGATTTATACTATTTCATTATTCACATTTTAAGTTACATGACAAAACATTTTACAGTGCAATTCACTTAGTGAATAATGTAGGCTAGATAAAGTTGTTTAAAAAAAGGACTCTTACCCTTCACTGAAACATGGCTTGGAACATAGTGGACGCTTCGAATCTTGATGGTTTTCCAATGAGCTACAGTTGTTAAATCCAAGGTACAATTGAACAGCTGTAAAAAGTGTAATTTGATATTATAAACAAATCTTCGCGTAAGAGTTTCATCAAGGCCTTATTTGTCACGTGCTATTTCAGAGTTGCTACATACCATATCCCGAGTTTCCCTTAACATGCACGAGTGCAAAAATAAGTAAACAAAATACGGTCCGACAGAACAGAAACATCTTATCAATTGGAATGTCTCTCGCCGATATCGCGAACGATTTCTTTGTCTCGTTTAGGTGTCAGTGAACAGGTGAAAAGGAGGCGTGTCTGTTCTTGATTGACAGTTGCCGTTCCAATGATCGATTGCATTCTTATGCCTTCAGTCAGGGATCCCTAATTACGGCAACAACAAAAAAAAGATAATCTTTTTATTGTAATGAATTTATCCTATTTTATGATATAGTGATATATGTTTTTATTTAAATTGTATAGCTATTTAAAATTCTAACTGATCACAATCTGTTTAGCATGCATTTAAAGGGACCAGGGAACTTCATCATGAATCATTTGCATAGTATTTGTTAAAATCATCAGCTTGAGGGTGCTGACCATTAAGATAGATCCCGTTCTTTTCTACTTTTGATTCCCTAGGAGGGTTTTCACAAGTGAGCATTGCACCTTCACAATGCAAATTCAGCTTCTACTCATGCAAAGAACAATGAATGCAAGTTTCACACAGGATAAACAACGCCTAGCCTATATGCACGTTGCCTATTCAAACTGGAAACCGAATAGAATGAGAGAAGGCACAACAAAAAACTATCTCTAAATAATCTAAAATAGCCTACTCCTAAACATTTGTTCATGTGATGAAACTGGTGGAGATGAGATAGCCTATACTCGGATAAATGACGAAACATAAGTGCCGCTTGCTCTTCTCAGACCGTAATGCAATTGCTAAAATATTTGCATTATGAGATAGAAATTGTGTAGGCAGTAGGCTGTTCATCCTTGTGGTCCGTTTCAGAGGGAAAAGCCTATGTTTGTTTACTCTTTTTAAGACAGAGGATGTGAGAATGTGAGATGAATGCATGTGTAGAGCCTGCTGAGTCTCACAAAGTCTGACTGATCACATGCCAGTGATGTTTTTGGCTTCAAAGACTTTTCCGAGCACGTCAGGATTATTGAGAAATAGGCATTTATAGGTGAGGCATGAACACATTGTTAGTGACCCACAACATAACGACAAGTGCTGACCAAACCAACGGTTACATCCCCCTGAGAAAACAGAGCCTGCCACTTCATGTGTCCATGTTCCACAGTGATGAATGAGAGCTGAAGTGGACCATTGACGCCAGGGTCATTGACGCCCAAGGGCACAATGGATGACGGGGTTGAATAAAACTAGCTTCCACCGAGAGTAATCTCTCGTGCTATATAGACAATAACACGTTAAATAAGATGTGTTTTTTGCTTTTTGGGTGTGTGGGTGAATCGCGCCCCCTTGTGTGTTAGGCTACTTATACGGGAAACAAATCGATAGCCTGAGCACATTTCTTATGAACTTTGTTTCAAATAATTTCCTATTAGAAAACCCTCCCAGTCGATGATATGAGTTTAACAGTCATATTAATTTATAAAAGTAGGCTAACTCAAAATGTTTATAGGCTATATAGCCTAGGGCTTAGCCTACTACTTAAAAGGCCTAGGCCTAAGACGATAAATTAATATTTTGATATTTATAGGATTAAGTTCATTTTAAAAAAGATAAATAAATAAAACGTTAATGCAAAATAAATGCAATAAAGCAAACATTTTAAATATTATAATACCTTTAAAAAATAAAAAATAAAAATAAAAACATGGTAGAACTGTTTCAACAATTAGCCTAAAAATCAACCAAAAATATTACAAAATAACAGTTCACTCCGTGTAGCCTAAAGTGAATTGGGACAGATTTTATAGAAAATAAATTAGCTACAAGAAAGCAAAGACATGAGCATTTCTGTTGCAGATTAAGCCCCAACATATTTATATGACGTTGGCCGAGGAAAATATTTGTTTGACAATTAACTTTAATTAGGCTCATATTAACTTTATTAACGGGTGTGAATGTTCGTTGAAGTCGCTATCAACGTTTCAAGGGGCACAAGAAGGCCTAATAAGACATAAGAGCTGGATCATTTTGAATGATTGGGTAGACTATTAAACACTGTTTAGTCAAGAAAGTATATTAAAAAATAATAATCTGAGTACATCCTCATGTCATAATAGTCTCAAATGGAAGAGGCATAAAGACAAACTTGCAGTGTCGGTTTTGCACTGAATCGCAGCTTGCAGTCTGGTGCACTGCACACGAAGGTTTGTGGGTTCTCATTTAAAAGCCTCAAGCGTATATGGCTTAATTATTTCAAGGCTTCTTCCGTTTCTTGGGCATGTGGTAGTGGCTGAAAGAACGATGCCACAACTGATATACGTTTGTTCCAACCTTACGGTAATGCAGGCAAGTCAGACTTAATTTAGTAAATAAATAACTGTGTCAAGGCATGTCCTACCTCAAAGAATATGAAAATTATAATACTTCTATTATATTTCAGTTTAAAGTCCTACAAACCATTTCGGACTAAATCAAAATCAAAATGGGCCCTAGGCCTATAGTTTTTTATATTTTACATTCACAAAGTGATCTGGCATTCTTATTTCATAATCAAGGGCAAAGCTGTGGGATGGAGACAATACATGACAAAACAGTGTCAAATGAAAAAGTAATCTGATTGACATCAGAAGAGGAAACAATAAACAAAGCATGGGCTGCCATATGTTTAACAGCTGTTCTTTAATCTGTACAGTTATGCATAAATCAGACAGCAGGGGGCGATAACGAGTGAATTCATAATTACCAATGGAAATTAAATCTCATGGGGGCCCATGCAGTTTCTCAGATAGCGTTCCCGATATTACGAACGTTCGTTTCTTTTACATGAGTGTTTCCTAAAAAAAAATTAACAACGCGCTGTCTGTTCAGGACTTGTTACATTTCCATCGCTCGTTATTAGGGCCTGTTTTTATTATCCTAAAAATTCCTAGTTATGAAATTTTAATTGTGCGACTCGGTTGTTCAGAACGTTGACACAACAGCTGATCTGTTCATCTGATGTCCTTTTGCAATCTTTTATTTTCACAAATTCAATGCAAGCTTCAAGGGCCAGCCCAGTGGAGATGGAGGCAGCGTTTACTGTTTTGTAGCCCTGTGTGTGTGATCCAGCTAAGGACAAGGTTAGCCTAAATCTAACGAACGAGGTCCATCGTGTTGCCAGTAGCCTATGCTACTGCCGAGTGAAATTGAGCGGTCGGCTCTTTGCTCCCTAAAGCGATAATGGTGACCGCAATGCTTCGTGGGTTCGAGGAAGGCGGAGGAGGAGTGTTGTAGAAGTGGATGAAAATGAAAGGGAGTAGAAATTCGGCTCCTGTTCTCATGAACGACATGATATTCTCTTCATTGATATGTTTTCGACCCAATTTTTAATAAGCCTACAAGTGCAAAGTAGCATATTTTATTGGACCACCTTCTGAATTGCCCTCACTTGCCTGAAACAATAATGTCACCTCTTTTTTTGTGCAAACTACGTGGTTACAAATCATCCCACTTTTTTGATTTAAATAAAGGAATAAAATAAAATATCCTGACATTAAAGGAATAAGCCAAAAGTGTGAGTAATAACTGTACTGTTAAACTTAGGTGTAGTTTTACGGTTGTCCTGCAGGTGATTCTGTCTGCTAGCGATGCGTTTAGCAGTCTACGAATATTTTAATTTAGTTTTCAATCTTTTAGATGTAATGTATGGACCCTCAAATATGATCATCCTGGTGCGACTCACGGGCCCCTCATACTAAAATGTAAAAGGCAGCTATATATTTTCATGTGTAGCCTAACAAACAAATTTATACTGTGGAAATGAATATTATATACAGTGGAAAAATATTTAGTTTGTTATGTTACATTTGTAACGTTCTTTCTACTAACTATATAACTGTACTGTAGCCTACTGTTATTTATTTTGTGTTTTTTTTAATCAATGTTTTATTTATTTTATCCAAATTTATTTATTTTAATATTTTATTATTACTATTATTTTTCAATATGCTTTTCAACTTTTCACCTAGCACTCCAATTTGGCCCCATGGGGGTCTCCAGACCCAAGTTTGAAAATCTCTGCTTTAGAGCACTCTTAGATCTGTGAATTTAAAGGTCTTCTCAAGTTACAATCCTTTTTGGGAAAGAGCCCATAATTCTAATAGGCTTTTTGTCTCTCCATTTAGGCTTACAACGCTTTTGGGAAACATAACCCTGCACAATGACACAGGCTCTTGCATGGATTATACCTTATTCAAAATGCCTGAATCTAGGGTAATTTACACAACACCTAAAAATGTATCTTAATAATCAGGTAGCCTCAAATGGTTGCACAAAATATTACAAGCATTTAAATGACAATCAACTACTTTCAATACCCTGATAATTAAATGGAAGTGTATACCTACTGGTTCATTATAAATCAATAGACTTTATTTTTGTATAAAACAAGTACCGGATTGATCAATTATTTTTATGTATCAAGACAGGTCTTTCAAAAAATATATAGACTTGGCTGTTGATCAAAAACAGCAAATATCTGAATTAATAATCACAATAACAAACTAAATTATGCATTTTAATGCATTTTCTTTATATTGAAATAAGATGCAGATGTGATCATTGCTATATGGCCACTTTTCACTTTTTATTTTTCACAAGTTCACTTTTTAAAAAGTAAAACATCCATAGTGTTTCAGTAAAGAAAGTGTTGCACATGTTCACACTGGCTGATAGCTTTCAATCCTTTCCAGCAAGGTCTCAGAGTAACCAGGGGAATAATACCTGTGAAAAAAAGGACGATCAGTGGAACACCAAAAAACATACAGCATATTCAATCTAAGGGTTTACAGCATTATAAAAGCATGTTTAGTTTTAAAATATTTTATCACGGTGCTGTTTATTATTCGCATAAATATCCATGAACCTGACAATCTCCTCAGGGTAGCAGCTGTTGATTGCATTGATATATTCCTGAATTGCAGAACCAGGTTCTGCTTTGATCTCCTGCACTTTCTTCAGACCACCACTGGTAACAAACAAGCGCCGTGCCTTACTGTCATGAGGAAGAACCTTTAAGATGGGGAGGAAATAGAAAAGCTCATTAAAGAGTTCTCATTGTCATTAACAAATGCAGCTTTCATAAAATGTGTTAATGAAAACAGTAAGTTCCCGCTACCTTACTGAACTGGCAGATGACATGTTTAAGAATGTTGCTGGGAGCTTCATAGAGAAGAGGCTCCAGTGCTGGTAGATAAGTACACTTTTGAAGGATGCTCTTCAATGCCTTCTTTGCCTTTTTTGAGTATGTGAACAAAGCAAAGAAGAGGCAAGAGTTACTAAAAAATGAATGATATTGGTAAAAAAAAAAAAAAAACATTTTTTTGAAAAAAGTTACTTTACTAATGGACCATTGCTCACCTTGACCTGCAGGTCTTCAGAACTTTCAGTGTCCAAATAGAGATTTAGGAGTTTAGGGAACGCGTTGGCCACAGCAACAGCTCGTGCATGTTCGGGTGTGTGTCGGCCAATCTGGCCAAACGCCCAAGCTGTGGCTGCTTTGAGGTGGTCGTCTTGCTCCTCTTCCAGACAGATAGCCAACTGTGGCACTCCCTACAGGAGTGGAGAATCAAATGTGATCATACTCAGTATTATGAGAGAAATACACTATACTGTTCAAAAGTTTAGGGTCGGTAAGATTTTTTTCTATTTTTGAAAGAAGTCTCTTATGTTCACCAAGCATTTATTTGATCAAAAATACAGTGAAACAGTAATATTGTGAAATATTAGTGCAATTTAAAATAACAGATTTTAATATATTTTAAAATGTCATTTATTCATGTGATGGCAAAGCTGTATTTTCAGCATCATTACTCCAGTTTTCAGTGTCACATGATCATTCAGAAATCATTCTAATATGCTGATTTGCTGCTCGAGAAACATTTCTTCTTATTATGACAGTAACATGTTTGTGGAAACCATGAATTATTATTTGATGAATAGAAGGTTCAAAAGAACAGCATTTACTTGAAATATATATATTTGTAACAATGTAAAAGTCTTAATGGTCCCCATTGATCAAAAGTATTCATTTCTTTTTTTTTTAATCTTACTGACCCCAAACATTTGAACAGTATATGTTGTCAATTTTAAGTTTTACATGTAATCTTAAGAAAGGATGTTATAACATACTTTAGATACAATCACAGCCATGGCTAAGTTCTCGGAGTGTGCAGCCACATAGCCCAGCATCATGATCCCAGGCAGGCGAACATTCCCTTTGGAGTCCCCGAGGTAGTCAATCACAGCTGCTACACCCCCCATATTCACTATTATCTGAGACAGCTGAGTAGGAAACAAACAATGCACACAAGCAAACACACAAGTCAGTGTGACATAATGATAAATAATTAGCCAGGCAGACCAGAAAAGCAAAACCGTTTTGGGCAGGTGAAAAAAAAGTGGTGATGCAATGACTATGTGGTTACCAATTGTCTGTTTCCTGTGTTGCACTGGTGATAAATAACAGACCCACATTCTCCATGGTTTACAGACTAGCTGCCTCACACCATATTATTTAAACAGGGGGTGTCAAAGAGCTGACAAAGTAGAGATTCCAAAGTTACCCAAGCATCTTGAAATCATTTAGTGGGTATGTTATGTATGTGGTAGGTACTTCTGGGGTGTGTTTTGTGATTTCCCGAATAAGAGTGGCGACATTCTTCCGAACATATTCATCAGGGTCCTTTAGGCAAACCAGCGCAGCGGGGAATATCTCGGCCTCCACCACCATCTCGGCTACGTCCACGGAATGCTTGGCGATTTGACTGAGAGCTGAAAAAACCTGCCTCTGTAAAGAGTAAAAATGTAGCCTACTGTCAAATTAAGTCATTAGGGCTTTTCACACATGTGCTTAACCCTGGGGTTAGCGTTGTTCTAAACCCCAGTTTTAACACCGGGTAGAGGAAAGTTACCCACTTGCAATTAGAAGCGGGGTTAGCACTGCTTTTTACCCCGGGATATAAAACCCTGCTTTGGAGCCGGGATAGCACCGGTTTAAGCCTGCATTGCGGTGCCAAGCATGTAAAGTGTTAAATTGTGATTGAATGTTTATGGCTAGATGGTTAGTAACAGACAACCAATCAGATGCATCATATTCACAAGCTTTAAATTTGATGATCATATAAACATTGCGTGTTGTAAACAGTAGTTTCAGCATTTGAGGGGAAAATGGAGTTATTGTTGGTGAATAAATTGGAGTTAAGAAGAGTTATATTGAATTGATAGTCGGCAATGTATATGAGGTTGCACAACGCTAGTTATGTAAACAGGTTTTGTACCGACTCATCCAATCAATGTCACTGACACCACAAATTAAGAACATTAACAAAGGGTTTAGGAATGTAAAGTGTGCACCATCAGTTTATAAATGCCCAGGATTAATTGTTAACCCCGGCTAAAATATGAGCAGAGTGAAATTCTGTTTTTTCTTGGGTTAAGAATGACCCAGGGTTAACTATTTCAAGTGTAAAAAGCCCTATTGAGTCTGCATGTCATTGATTTCAATATCTGTACACTCTTAAAAAATAAAGAACCTTTTTTGGAATTAGTGGCTCCATGAGGAACCTTTCACATCCATGGAACCTTTCAATTAGACAAAAGGTTCTGTAGAGTGGAAAAAGGTTCTTTAGATTATTAAAATTTTCTCAGGTCACACTTTAGATTAGGGTCCAAATCTCACTATTAACTAACTATTAACTATGACTTTTGCCTCAGTAAAGTCCTAATTACTGCTCATTAATAGCTAGTAAGGTAGTTGCTAAATTTAGGTATTGGGTGGCATTAAGTGATGTAGAATATGGTCATGCAGAATAAGGCATGTGGCAGTCCTAAAAAACAGCCCATATCCAAGTAATATGCATGCTAATAAGGACCCTAACTAAAGTGTTACCTCTTCTTCAAATTAAGATGGTTCTTTTAAAAAGGTACTTTGAGGAACCCCAAATAGTTCTTCTATGGCATTACTGCGAAATCCCCCTTTCAGAAACTTTATTTTTAAGAGTGTAGACTGTGTCACCTTTAATTTGGCATCTGGGTTTAGGATCATCTGTGCTAGGTGGGCGATTGCCCCTGTGTCCACCACGGTTTGAGCCAGCTCTGGGGAGTGCTTGGCTATATCGCTCAAAGCGGAAGCAGCAACCCTCTTCAGGGCAATTTCAGGCTCCTGGATGCATAACACAAGCAGAGGCACCACTCCGGCATCAACCACTGCCTGAGACAGCTCTGCACACCAGGAGTGAAGATGAACAACAAAAGGAACATTGACAAATTGTAAGAAATAAATATAAAAGCAGAACCCTTTTTGAAGCAAACTCACGTGCATTGTGCCTGGCAATGTAGCTTATTGCCCATGCCGCAGCCTCTTTGACCCCAGGGTCAAACTCCTCCAAGGAGACGACAAGAGCGTCCAGTGCTCCACAGTCCACCACGGCCTGGGCCAGCTCTGGGGAGTGCTTAGCAACAGCCCGAAGAACGAATGCAGCTGCTTTCTTATAGAATCGCTGTGTAATTCATACCCCAGTAATCCAGAGGGAAAGGACAAAGCAATTGAACAATAAATACACTAGAATGTTCATGAATCACCAGCAAAACTGCCTTTAAAGGGATAGTTCACCCAAAAATGAAAATTCTGTCATCATTTACTCTCCCTCAAGTTGTTCCAAACCTGTTAGAGTTTTTTTGTTCTGCTGAAAACAAAGAAAGATATTTTGAAGAATATCGGAAACCAAACAGTTGATGGGCACCATTGACTTTCATATTATGGAGGAGAAAAAAAAAACTATGGAAGTCAATGGTGCCCCAGAACTGTTTGGTTACAAACATTCTTCAAAATATATTCTGAATGTTCTGATCCAATCTGACTTCTGAAATGCTGCCTAAATTATAATCATACACTGTTCGTTCGTTGGCCAGAGGAGAACTGCCCCCCCAACTGAGCCTGGTTTCTCCCAAGGTTTTTTCTCTATTCTGTCACCTGATGGAGTTTTGGTTCCTTGCCACTGTTGCCTTTGGCTTTTGGCATGCTTAGTTGGGGACACTTAATATATTTAAAAATATTATTGATCTGCCTGCACTGACACCATTATATGAGAACTGAACTGAGCTGGACGATGACATCACTGTTTTCTCCAGAGCAGCTGTATAGATAAATGAAATAAATGAATAACTTTTTTACAACAAAAATGAACCATCACTGAACTTACTTCAGCTGGACTATGACACTATTTTCTTCTAGATCTGCTGTACAGCCGAAACAAACTTTGTTGCATTATTTTCCTATTATCACTGTAAAGCTGCTTTGAAACAATCTCTATTGTAAAAAGCACTATATAAATAAAGGTGATTTGACTTGACTTGACTCAGCAGAAGAAAGAAATGTATACAGGTTTGGAACAACTTGAGGGTGAGTAAATGATGACAGAATTTTCATTTCTTGGGTGAACTATCCCTTTAACAAACAGTAAGTCTGTTCTAATGAAGCCTCTCTGACAGTGTAACAGTAATCTAACAGAAAGTTTTGGAGTAAAAACTTTGGGTGACCACTTTTTAGTTGTTGTTTTTTTCTGCTGGGTTATTGTGGAATCTGGACAATGATCCGAGAGTTTGCCAGGAGTCAAACCAAGATGTGATCTGAGATCTGGAGTTGATGCACTACCATGCACTTTACATTTTTATAATGAAACAATATGTACATTTTTAGTATCTGTATTCCTGCTCACAGTTATGTTACTGTTTAAAATCATATAATTTAAATAAAGAATGTAGACAAACAAACTGCTTTTGCTTTGACTTTATGCTTATCACAACACATTAAAAAGCAAGTATTAAATGAGAAAAGCACAAAAATATATTAATTAAATTGGAAATTGCAGTAACATGGTTTGCCTGGCTGACATTGACAAGTTTTTGCATTGTGCAAAAGCAAATTTAGGCATGAAAGTCTGACGCCTTAAGGCAAAACTATTTATTTCAGTGAAAGCTGAACGGCTCAACTAAAGAAACTCACGTTTTGCTCAGCCAGGGAGTACACAAGCTGAGGAAGAATGTCTCCCTTTACTACAGCCTCAGCCAGGTCATCGTTATAGTTGGCAAGCCTTCCGAGAGCCAGGGCTGCTGTCTGCTGAATAGTTGGGACTGCATCCAAAAGGAGAGGCCTCAAAAGGGACATTACACCTAAGCCAGAGAGAGTGAGCACATTTGTGCAGGGGAGAAAACAGGAGTGGAAAGACACTTGAGAGCAGATGAGGGGAGGATAATACTTTCAAAGGTTCAAATCATATAATAAAATATATCTATAAAATGATGAGCTACTGTATGCGTTCCTTATTAATTAAAAACGTAACTTGTTAACGTGTTTTGTAAGATATTTCGCCCAGAAACAATTCATTGTACTGTGCAGTGTTTTGGTGAAACATATTGATTTAGATCCTTTTCCCCCCATCAGTCCTGAGTGTGTTGAAAGGGTTTAAAATACTCTACATTGTAGGTTAGGTCGTTGAGTTAGGTGAATTTGTTACAAAACATAAAAAAAAAACACAGCCCATGTTATAATTCACCTTGAATGTCTAAGCTCACTTGTAATTAGTATTACCCAGGAAAATTGTATTTGATCAGTTGAAAAATTATTTCCATTACAAGCAGATACCATACCATTCTTCATGCAGAAAACATCTTATTTTTTTTTTCACAATATAAATATTTCAGACACTCACCAGCATTTTGAAGTGTTTCAGTATTTTGTGGTCTTGTTGCAAGATCTGCTACAGTTTGCACAAATTGTGTTCTTGCCTTCTGGTACTGCTCAAACACTGCATAATAATAATAATAATTCATGTTATAATAATCTCGTTTTACACATTTGGGTTTGCAGATAGGACAGATTACTGACAGTAATTTAAGTTAAACATAGACCGGCATATAAGATGAGTCAATGCCAAAAATGATGTCAACAAACTGCAAAAGTAAGAAAAGTAAGTTAAGTAACCCCAGTGGTTTTAATGATCTGAGCGAGTTTATCATTGCATTAACTTTTTTAATGTATATATCCTTCAACGGATCTGACTTCCTCACCTTGTAAAACCTGCCGTTGACTCATTGTTTTATCAGTATCCTAAATCGGAGCAAAAACGACAAAAAGCTGCGTGGATGCGACAAACTGTGCGTTTAAACTTCCATTAGGAAACAGCGTTTGTTGTGACTTTGAGTTTAGAGGAGGCGTGCAACTGTTGTCTTGGCAACAAACCGGAAGTGATAGGCATCTCGTTCGTTCGGTGAGCGTGCTGTCAATGTTCTTCTAATGTTTCGTGCAGAAACACGCATATCTGTTCAAATCAGGATAAGTGCCGAATCCAGGTGATGTCCAGATGTAATAGTATGCTAATTAATCCCTAATTAGTTTGGGGTATTAAACAGGATTCAAGAACGGTGTCAAATCGGGACAGAGCAGCTGCGAGGGCGACAGCTGCCCTCACATTCGTGTCTGTACGGTTACTGCAGAGACAACTGCAGTCACAGCAGCAGTGATATAATTACTAGTCTTCACATTCGCATTTTCGTTAAAGAAGTTTTAGAAAGGTAAATACACTATTGCCTGCTGGTTCGTGATTATATGTGGGGGAAAAGAGTCTTTCGTCGAGCAGCTGAATACAAACTTCCCGTCCGTGCTTGTTCACTTAAAAGTTGTTTTTACGATTTAATTGCTTTCACTTTAAGAAGGTGGTCATTTGAACTGGGTACCAAATAGTTCATAATTTCCCGAATCCCTTTAATAATTGCTTATGTCGACTGTAGGCCTAGTTGTAGCCTATCTGTTGCATTTCACGCACTCTCTCCCCTGTAACATGGCTGCATTAAACATAAAAAAAGTCCAACCCTTTTAAGTATACTGTAGCTACACATTGCGTAGCCTGTTAGAAAATATTTTGTATAGTTAGCCTATATAGGCCTAAAATAGTAATAAAAAAATCTAAGCTTGTCATTTTGGTTTTATTTGGGCCATTAGTGGAGAAAGGCTATCTGCCTTTATGAAAAACCCTGACAAATCAGGCCTTTATACGCCAGCTCAAGGCTGAAGAGTTTATGCACTTTAATGTCATTTCTGACACAGATATGCTCTCATGAAGCAATACTTAAATACTGTTGAATTTAAAATAACATGTAGGCCTATATTTTTTTCTTAAGAGTTCACCATGACATCAGCCAAGGCAATGCAAAGCGAGCATAGATGATTATTGAAGAAACTTTTTTAAACAATGACATTTATTTTAGAATGTCCACTTGGCTTTGCTCATTTCCACCTCTAAATTCACTCCTAACAAATAATTTCAGTCAACATCATTTGTAGGGATTTTTTAAAGGTGTCTTGATTTTTCGACTTCATCTTTGTTACGTCAAAAGTAAAAGTTTAAGGCTTTACACTTAATTTTAAGGTGTCCGTGTTACAGTGTAATTATAAATTTAGGCCTAAGTGCTGAGTAATAATAATTAAGATTGTACTTACTATAGTATAGGGTCAGGCAGTAATTAAGCACAATTTATAGTAATTACTAGTAACTATGTTCCGTGTGTAACAAGACTGCAAAATAAATTGTTACCAAGTTTTGTAACTATGGATTGGCCAAAATAAATAAATAAAAGCCATAATCCTGTTCCAAACGTTAACCTTGACAGAATTAAGTCTCTTGGAAGTCCCAACATACGGATAGCCAACACACAATAAACCTTGTGCCGACTGAGTTGCCTTAAACTACAAGATCCAACAAGATTTGAAGACCAGATTATAACTGACCTGTCAACTAAAATATAAATCTGTAATAGACAATAACAAAACAATAAATAGCTTTCATTACCTCAGAGTAAGTGCAAATGTAAATCAGTGCAAAATGTCGAGACAGTGAAAATGTCCTCACGGAGAGATTCACCGACACTTTCCGTTTCTAACGACCAGGAATGACTAGGTAATTTACACAGGCTAGTTATAAGCCACAACTGGAGAAGTTTGTAGCACCTGCCTCTCAATACCTTCGTCACAACAGACTTTGAAACCGGTCAAATGGATTTAGTCATAAGTTTACCAGATAGCATGCTTCAGTTACCAGTATATCGCACGAGCATTTAATAGATGTTCATCCGCGCTTTGACATATCTGCATTTTTGCTATGCAAAAAATAAATAAACGAATGTTCTGTAGGCCTGGCCTACTACATCACCATTATCACCACTTTGATGGTTATTTCTTGGAGCTTATTGACAACTTTAAAAGTTTTGCACCATAATAGGCATATCTACTTATTTTACATAATTAGAAATCCGAATACATTTATTCGGATGTTAAAGTAATGCATGAATATAGCCTACTTTTGGTAGGCCTATTTGTAGATTTCTCTTTATCTGATTCGAAGCAGCATTAAAACGCAAGGCGATGTGAAAGTGTAAAATGTTTATTTAGATGTTTTATACTGTGCAACAGTCACAATACAATAGCTGTCAATAGTCTACAATCGACCAATAAGACAATGAACACTGAAGACATCAAAATCTTGTCCAGAAGGATAAGTTGGGGCAGTAGCTGTTTGTCTAACGACAAATTCGTGTATGTAATTGCTTGAAAAGCAGTCTGAAAGATATGTGTGCATGCTGTACAGGACTTGAGCATGACCTCGAAACCAACCTGACGGCCCGAACCGGCACAGTGGAGCATATCGTACAATAACTGCAAAAACTAAACTTGAATTCCCAAGAACTTCTAATAAAAATTATTAAGCCAAATAGAACTTAAAAGTTGCATTTCTTTATCCCTTTGAACGCGCAGTTCTAATATAGTCTTTTTGTCATTTAAATTTGAACTATATAGGCTATATGCCTTTCTTTGATATATTAAAGGCAAGAATATACCAGGAATGTTCCGTAGCCTAACTACCCCAGAAAAGGCAAACTAAAATCAAAAGTAAATGTTTTTTTAACATGCTTTTAAAGAACATTATAATACACATGTAAAATACAAGCAACTGATAACGCAATTTTTTTTAGGGAAAATGTAGACCAAGAGTAAAAATATATAAAAAGGTATAATTCAGTCATTTCTGCATTCTGAAAATGCCGCAACCGTCGCTCTGCGCTCCACTTTGCAATCAAATGGGCCTCTAACTTTCTCACACAAACTTAGAAAATCCAGCAATGTGTCGAAAGAAGCGCGTCATTTCCACTACGTTAAAGTTACATGTATAATATACTGATAATAATGACAAAAAGAATGGCTCTGCCTCTACATGACACTACGTTGGCATGGAAATAGCTGGATTATGTCTGGCGTTGGCTTTATCGTAGTCCCTCTTCTCATCCCGACGACGTGGAAGATCCGTTCAGCGCTGTCTTTCGCACTTTGTTGCCAAAGCTGAACTGTCGATTTGGGCTTGTCATCGTCGTGCCGTTAATAGGGTTGGAAACATGGCTGAAATGTGGCTGTGAAGGCTGAACCAGTGTGCTTGGACTCGGTAGTGGTGAGGAGGTGGATGGGACTCCAGCGGGACTGCTGGCCTTGTCGCTGGCTGAGTCGCTTTCAGAGCGGTTAGTGCTGTTCACGCCATCTTGCGGATGGGTAATCTTCATTTTTTTACAGCTGGGCCGCACGCGGTATTTCAGAGGCAGTGGTCCATTCTAAGTAATGTGCGAGAATAACAGAAGGCACTTTATCATTTAACGCCGGATGCTGAGCAACCAAAATTCGCAATCCACAAAGCAACCAATTATCATTCTTAAGATATTTTAATATACATAAATTACGTTTTAAAATGGAGTTTGTAAAGTCACAGTTAGTACTCTTTTGACACTAAAAAAATATTTGAGAACTTACTCTTCTCCATGTGTAGATGTAGGCAATGTCCATTAATGTGTAATAATCCTTCAAAGGCTCATCCTCATACATAACTTCAATCTATTAGAACAATAATATTAAAAACAAGCACCAAAATCACACTGCAATAGATGCAAAATCTGAAAATGATAACAAATACCATCTTAATACCCTCTTTATATCTGTATCTGTAACAAACTACTAAGGGTTAAAAAAGGCCAGAAACTCTTTTGCAAATTAAACTACATCCACAATAACATTGATCACATTACCTGGAAAGTAGGAGGTATATCCATTTTGCTTCTCAGAAATTTCCTCAAATGCATCACAGTCATGGCAGCAGGGCATTGTAAGTATCTTTTATTATTAACCTGTTTTTAACACAAATACTTTATTCAGATAAGCTTTATTGGTGCAATCACCATTATCACAGAAAAAAAACTTTTTTAATAAGAATCAATATTCCAGATCTTACTTACCTCTTCATTTTGCCTCTCATCTGTGCAGCCTTGCTGTTGGGCCCTAAACAATAAATCGTATAATTGTAAAAAGAAAAAAAAAAGAGTGCTAAATTATAACTTGTCAATTTTTGTATCAAATATCTTTCATATTTAGTTAACACTATAGCAGAAAGGCTATTTCAAAAAAAGGCTATGTTACACACTTTTACAACTTTTATAACAGAATACACTGACAATAAAAAAAACATACCTTTGATCAAAAAATTCAATTGACAGACTGATTATCTCATCATCTGTGATGATTCGCTTGTCTTCGTCAGCAACTTCCCCTCGATCCTCATTTGATCCATTTGCAGCTTTGAAATAAAATGAAAGAAGAATAGTGGCTTTAATTTAAACAAATGTTAACAATTAGACTACACAGCTGTACAACACTCTTCAAACAGTTACCTTAACAGTTCAACAAACTTGTTTTCAATACTTACCATCAACAGACGGGTGTTCGGCATAAAAATCTCTTCTACGCTTCATTTCATCTGAAAACAACATTTCGGTTACACTTTATTTAAAGGTATCCTTGTTACAGTGTAATTATACATTTATGTACTGAGTAAATTAATTAACAACATGTACTTATTATAGGGTTAGGGTTTGGTTTAGTTGTGTGTAATTATGCATAATTTATTACAGTAAGTATGTTACACATGCAACAAGTACACTGACATTTCCAGATCAAGCATGTGTGACTAAATACAAACAATAATTACAATCTTATACAATGACTGACTAACTTTTGAAAAGACCAGGAACCAACTTGTACACAATGTCCTGTAGAGTTTTGTCAGACCTGAGGGAGGAAGTGTAGAT